CCGCAGTACCCCCGGCCGAGGGCACAGCAGGGAGATGGAGGGAGGAGGTGCCCAGGGATGGGCGTGGCCATGTAAAAGCAATGGGGACTCCTGGGATTTTAGACTCTTGGTGGCTCTCATGGGGGACAGGGGACAGAAACACAGGACTACTGGGTGTCTGGATGGGACGGGGAGAGTGGCGGGCTACCTTAGGGGCCTGCACACAGTGCCCTGGAGAAGATGGCCAGGTGTGGCACGTTCACCCCCATCCTGAGGGAAATCAGCCAGGAAGGGCTTCTGAATCCTGTGCTGCCAGCCCCCCGCACAGCCCGACCTGGACAGGGGCCAGCTGGGGTCTGGGCCAAGGCACCCACACACAGGGGAGGCAGCCTGCCCACCCCTGGGCCACAGAGCAGAGGACGCCTTGGGAAGGCACATCAGGAGCGGGGCCAGGGCCCTGCCCTCCCGGCTCACCACGCGCCCGCAGCTGCTCGCCCACCGAGTGCCCGACAGGCTCCGGCTCTGGGGAGCAGAGACTGTGCTCTGGCTCTGGTCCCCCAACCCTGGCACACACCAGGCGCCCACTCAAGGCCAACCGGAGCCCTGGGGCCTGTTATTCCAGCTACAGGACCCCAGTGCCAGCTGCTGTGGAGCTGCCCTAGGCAGTGGCGGGCCTGCTCCCTCCCTGTCTGTCCTGCGTCCCTTTTGGCCAAGATAACTGAGACTGTCCTGTGGGGGGGGGCCAGGGTCCCGCCCCAGGCAGATGGTGCTGGCATCCTGGGCCACCCCCTTGCCACCTCCCATCTCAGAAGTGGACAGTGGGAAGCTGAGGCTCCTCTCTGGGTGACAGAACCCCACCTCAGTGTCCACCAGGCCCAGACCTGCCCCCAGTGCTGCAGAAGCCCCCAGGGCCTGTGCCCCCACAGCCAGAAGAGGGGCAGTCCGCAGCCCTGGGTGCCCTGGGCCACGGGGAGCCAGGCTGTGGGGCACGCAGTGCCTTCCACTGCAGGGAGGGGGCGCCAGCTCCCTCACCCGCCATCCCACCCCGACACCCTGCTTCGGCCCAGGCTGGGGTCTTTGATCCTGACCTCCGGGCTCATGGTCAACCCCCAATAAGCCCCCGCACAGGAGTCCTGTGTCGCCCGCCCCAGGGGCGCCAAACTAAGGCCCCCACACCAGGCTGGGTGGGAGCTCTGCCGAGCCCTGGCCTCGCTTGTGCCCAGGAGCGGGGGAGTGGAAGGACACTCCAGCAGGCTGGCCCAGGGCGACCGTGCTCCACGGCCCTGGGGGTCCTCAGCTCTCCACACCGGCACCGTCCCAGGGACACGTCACGCCCTGCCCACCCCACCCGAGGTCCAGCTCATGTGAGGGGCCGAGGGGACCTGGCACTGAGGACAGCAGGTGTTCACAGAGCCTGCCACACCTGGGTGTTCTTCCAACGTCCTGTGAGAAGGACGTGGCTGCCCATCTGGTAGGCCACCAAGATGGCAGCCGAGCCTCCCGTCGTTGGCGCCAGAGTCTGTGGCTGCCGCCCACGCTCACCATGTACTCCATGTTGGAGGCCGGGGGGTGCACCTGGCCCCGCAGCTTATTGTGCAGCATGAGGATCTCCTCCCGGTCTGTCCTGGGGATGGCCCTCCGGGCGCGGGAGTGCGGCTCCGCCTGCTGGTATCTGCTGAGCAGGCTCTCCAGCTGCGTGGCGTTGGGCAGGAAGAAGCCTTGGGCTCCGCAGAGCAGCAGCGCCAGCCCCAGGGCGGCGAGGCCACTCGCGACACCACTCATGGTTCTGCCCTGCAGCAGCAACTTGGTGACAGGGCAGCCTGGGCCTGGTGCAGAGCTGGTGTGGTGCCCTGGAGGAAGCAGAGGGGGGGAGGAGCCGGTCAGCGCTGGGCAGCCGGCTCGGGCGGCGCGTGCAGCAGCATGAGCCTCTCCTGCTGGCAGACGCGGACAGGAGGCTCAGGGAGGGCAACCAGCCTGCCCGCTGATAGGCAGTGGAGGAGCCGGGACCCAGCCCAGAGCTTCCAGCAGGACGCGCGCCTGGACTCCCCACAGGACGGCCCGGGCAGTTTCTCTGGGACCCAAGTTCTCTGTCACCGTGTTTTCTGACCCACATCAACATTTCCATCCACTGGGGACCCGCGTGGGCCTAAGGTTCGAATCAAGCTCTGACTCTGCCCTCAGAGGGACCTGCAGAGTCATGTCACATCACCAAGGGACACTCCAGGAGCAGCCACTCCCCAGCAGCCTGGGTTTAGCACAGAGTGGGCAGACCTCAGGAGGCCCCTTAGGCCCAAGGGTCCTGCCTCCCGCTGGCTCCCGCTGGCTCCACCATGGCTTGGCCACACACGGTGACAGGTGCCCCAAGCCCGGCAAGGACTTGGCCACAGGCTGCAAAGTGACCTTTACCTGCTGACTTGGTCCTCAGGAAAAGCAGCAGTGGAGAGAGGGCAGGACCATCAAGGGACTCTACCCACCTGTCCTTGTCCCTGCGGGGCAGACCCACAGCTGCCGCTCCAATGTGCCCTCAAAGGTCCATGTGCCGGGAACCCTGTCCCCCATTGGCTCATGGTGGCGGTGGAGTGGAGCTTAGGCCTGGAGGAGATCATGAGGTGGCCTCCTTGATGGCCTTAGGGGCTTTACAAGGGGAAGAGACACCTGAGCGACCCCCTTGCTCTGTCACCCAGTGACAGACAACATGGCCCTCTCTGCGCCATGTCCTGGTGCAGCCTGAGGCCCTGGCCAGATCCTCACAGGCTCCTGGACGTCCAGCCTCCAGAACCATCAGCTGAATCAACTTCCGGCCTTTACAGGTCACCTGGCCTGGGACATTCTGTGGGAGCAACAGAAACGGGCTTCCAAGGACCTGCAGCCCCCAGGCAGGCCGCCTCCTCCGCCGAGCGAGCGATTCATGCGGGTAACTAACCAACCGCCACTTCAGGACAGTCACCAGTCACGGCCACCTCCAGACAGGTCCGGGTCAATCCTCCAGGTCTCTCCGTTGCTAGGGCAGCAGCGAGGCCGAGAGGACAGGCTTCCAGACCCTCTGGGCCCACGGGGTGCTGTGTCCCCAAGAGTGCTCCTGCCAACCAGCACACGCCGAGCCCCAGGTCCCCTCGGGGGATGCACCCCCTCAGAGTCCCAGGGTGCCCGCTGCTTATTAAAGACACTGGACGTGTCCCGAACTTTTGCTACCCTGTCCCTCACATCAGAGTCAGAATGTCCTTGACAATTTGCTGTACCATCTGGTTCTTCCAGAAAACCCATCATAAGCATCTATCCAGGTGGGTCATTAATGTCATTTCAAACACTGTGACAACCCAGGAGGCCCATGTATTAGGGCCCACTTACCATGAGAAGGCAGAGGCCTCTGGTGGCAGCAAGGCCTGCCCAAGTCCACCCTGGTCAGCCTCCGGCAGGGAGGCTCTGTGGACCTGGAACTTCCCAGTAGGCCCCATGGCCCTGTCCCCTGGCAGCCCACAGTCTCCCTCCATGAAGGACCATGCTACCCACTGGAGAGGCAAGAGAGGACGCAGAGTGCAAGGTTACTCCCAGGGAGTCCGTGGCCACCTAGTGGACTGCACCCAGCACTTGTGCTAGGCCTGAGCAGGGAGAGGACTTGGTCCCTGGCCACCAGGAGCTCAGGCTGGGCTGGGGAGGGAAGCGAGATGGGCATCCCAGGACCTGAGCCCTTGGCACCAGAGGGCACCCTGGGGGCCAGCGAGCTGTGGGAACGCGGCCGTTCCCATCTTCAGCCCTGGAAGCCCTCCAGGGCCTGGAGAGCAAAAATAGCCTGCGCCCAGGGAGAGGCTCCGCGCTCAGTAGTGCTGGACAGGCTGCCCTCCTCCTCCAGGGGCGACCTCCTGGGGCGGAGCCAGGACGCTGGGAGGACCTCTGCACGCCCGGCTGGCCTGGGGGAATCCAAGCCTGGGGAGTTCTCCCGTCCGCCTCTCGCGGTTGGTCCCACGACCATATATGCACAATTCCAGCTGCAGGCCAGGGGCCACGCCTACCCGCGGAGGAACACTGACGCTGGCTCGGGGAGGATGTGGGGGACGGGAGCCGGCACCGCTGGGGTCCACCCCGCGTCACACCACGCACAATCTGCTCTGCTCTGTGCTCCGGGAGTGGGAGGCGCAGGGCCCCAAAGGCACGCAGCATAAAGCCTCACGTGACTCCACTCTGCCCAACCAGAGGAGGACCTGGTCTGATTTCAGTAGGTCCGACTCTGGAGCTGTCGGCAGGGCGAGTCGGGTGGGGGGGCTATGATGCGGTGGAGCAATATGCAGCCAGCAAAAGGAACGACTACACCCTGGCATTAATAAAAGAAAGTGCAACAGGCGGTTCACCAAGCAGCAGTAGAACATTATGCCTATGATGCCATTTGTGTTAATTTTAAAATAGGTGCTGGGCACGTAGCTCAGAGGCAGAGTGCTTGCCTAACACTCAGGAGGCCCTGGGTTCAATCCCTAGCACAGCAAAAAAACAAAAACCCACTGTGTCTACGCATATACCAAATTCTGTGTGATTTATGGATATATTACATATACACATTTGTGTGCCTGTATATGTATGCATGTGGGGTGTGCGTGTGTGTGTGTATGTGTGTGTGAGAGAGAGAGAGAGAGAGACCCAAGGCTGAATTCAGGAGTGACTTCTGGACAGAGGACAGGAACTAGGGGAAACAATACGAAAGGCTTGTCTTTACCTTTTACGTATATTTCTATTTTTCAAATCTCAAGGAAATATGGCAAAATGTCAGTGCATGCTCACGTGCGGGGAGCCGGCCAAGGGCGCAGTGCGGCACCGTGGTGAGCCCAGGCCGCCCGGGTGGTGGCCTTTCTGTCCTTGGGGCATGCCCGTTTCTCTTGGTTTGAAGTTATTCCTCAACAAAATACAAGACGCCAAGGCAGGAAACAGCACCTGCCGTTTCCAAACGCACCCTTCCAGCACATTCTGAGCAGGTGCTGCCCTGCGAGAGAGCTGCCCTGGCCCTTCCTTCCGAAGCTGAGGGACTTCCCGGCCCACAGGCCCCCTCCTCAAGGTTCCAAGGGGAGTCATAAAGCCTGGGGTGGAGCTGGAGAGATGGCGGCCACCAGACACGGTGCCACCCAGAAGAGGAGAGAAGAGGGGACCGAGGCCTCTCCACGTCCTTCCTGGCCCAGGGGCAGCCCTGCCTTGGCGGAGGCACTCAGGGCACTGTGCAGGTGGCACGCCAGCACCACAGGGCAGGAAGCAGCCTGGCCTGGCCGGCGCCTAATC